AAATCAGATTTTTCCTTGAAAATATAACACAACAGAAAGGCAGATTTTAGTTGATTTTTTTTGTCCACTTTTTAATTTATTTTTATTCTGTAAGTAGGCACTATGCCCAGCATGGAGCCCAACGCCAGCCCAAACTCACAACCCTGATATCAAGATCTGAGCCAAAATCAAGAGTTGGACCCTTAACCAACTGAGCCACCCAGGCACTCCTTTTTTTGCCCACTTTAAACAAAATACAGGAAACATTATAATTGGAAACTAAGGATTTCATTTTTTTAAATCTTAGATTCTAAACAGCTGGTTCAAAGGTCTGCTTAGAACTGTTAAATGACTCAAATTCCCAGTAGGATATTAAACGTTAATATAGCCATCATTGTATTAAATCAGCCTAGTGCTTGACTTTCTCACTGGTTCTCTTTCCCCTTAACATGGTAAATTAAATGAGGGATGCCTGGTATGGTCCCTGCCTGCCTCTCTAGCTTATTACCCACCCTCTCCCTTTTTCTGAGCTCCCACCTTAAGTTCCAAGATGTGCGATTTCCGCCCTCCAACTCAGGACCTTTGCTGAAGGATTCATTCTACCTAGAATGCTGTTTACCCTTTCCCTTACCACATTTTAATTCCTCATCCCATCAATCAGCTCTAGCTCAAAAAAATACCATCTAGGGGTGTGTGTACCTGGGTGGCTCAGTCGGTTGAGCCTCAGACTCTTGATCTCCCCTCAGGTCTTGATCTCACAGTCTGTGAGTTTGAGCCCCACCTTGCGCCACACCCCCTTACCCCCCAAGCCCTATGCTGGGTGTGGAGACTACCTTAAAAAAAGAAAAGAAAAAACAGTCTGGGGGCACCTGGCTGGCTCAGTCTGCAGAGCATGACTCTTGATCTCAGGGTTATGAGTTCAAGCCCCCACGTTGCAGTAGAGATTACTTAAAAATAAAATCTTAAAAAAAAAATACCATATGTGGGGAAAACTTTGACTCTATTAGATCAGTTCTTGATTTGACACTCTTGGTAACCTATACTTCATGACTTATCACAGTTTGTAATCGTTGTTCAATGTCTGTTTCCCCACTGGATTACAAGCTCCAAGATACCAAGAAACCTGCTTATCATCCCTAGCAGAGTTGCTAAAAAAAAATAATTAGTCCTGAAGTAAAACTATTACCTCATAATTACTAGGCATGTAAACTACATCACACAATTCAGTCCATTCTTTGGAGCATTTAATTGTTTTCTGACTTTATAGTATGTAAGTGTTTGGTTGTCAACACCTGCTTTCTTATATGTAGGCGTTTTTAATAGGTTAAAATTGAGCAGTAAAGAAGTGTTGACAGGGGTTCCTGGGTGGTTCAGTTGGTTGAGCTTCTGCCTTTGGCTCAGGTCATGAACCCAGGGTCCTGGGATCAAGCCCCACATCAGGCTCCCTGCTCATCGAGGGGTCTGCTTCTCCAACTCTCCTGCTTGTGCTTACTCTGTCAAATAAATAAAATCTTTAAAAAAAAAATAAGTGTTGACAATTTCACGATCATGCTGAGATGTTTTAATGTAAATTTTATTATGTCATATAATAAAAAAATACAGAATGGTTTGTGATGTAAGATGGAAAGTAAAAATCCTCCTCCCTACCCTCTAATCTTTCAGTGTCACGACTGCAGTTTCTTTAAAATTATATGGTGTTAGGATACATTAAAACAGTAAGCATCACTACTATTATAGAGGATTGAAACTCAATTCTATAATATGGTTAGCACTGGGTTGCCAAAAGCCCACTTTCTTCACATTTAATATTCTTCCTCATTAAAATAATATTTTTGTAACACAAGTACTTTGTACCTATGCTGATCACCACAATTTTATAGTCTTATCTTGCAAGTGTAACACATATATAACTAAACAGTTGGTAAACATATAGAGATTGAGCACAATTAAGGCCCACAAGGTACTGCTGTATAACGTATCTACCAACAGGTTGATCAGACCAGTAGTTATATTTGACAGCAAGAAGAAAATTAACTGGTTTCTGTTCATAGCTGTAATTAAACAAAGACTGGGTTCCTTTCTTTCAGCTTCAGAGACTAGAGATTCTGAATGCTTTTTATTTGTGGCAGACAACTGGATTGGTTTCCAAGAACATGGTACTACAGCCCCTTTAATTAGAAATCTTGCAAAACTCAAAATTATATCACCCAGTAATAAACTACTAAGAAGGATCAGGCTAGAAGCAACTATCCAAATACAAAAGGCTAAATTGGCCATTCTCCGAGATACTACTTCTACATTTACCTGAACTATGTAAAGAGATATGAAAAGGCTAATAGCTGTCAGCAGAATACAGTACGTTCCTTTTATCCAGTCTTTGACATGTGATCTTTTTTTAAGCATATATGACCCTGTTTGCACACCAGCCATATGAATTGCCACATACCCCAAGGTAGAGATTATTCCTTCTCGGTTGGCATTTAATAAACCAATCCTTGTGCCACTACCATCAGTGCCATATAAAATTAACCTTTTCAGTGGGGTAAAGTCGAGGGCTAGCTGGTATAACACAATAGTGCTGATGGCCACAATCCAGGATTTATTTAGAGGAAAAATAATCAAAAGCAGTGATGTTAACAGTTTCACAACTACTAAGGTAAAGAAAAAGTTCCAGTGAACTCCATACTCAGTTAAATGTTCCTGATAGCCTATGGATTTTATAATGACTAATCGTCCTACTCCTAGGAAAACTAATGGCCAAACAGAGTACAAGGACTTTGTAAGATAATAAAATCTGGACCCTTCCGTGTATTTTCTCCTGACTTCTGGACAAACCATTGCAGTCCCAAAAATAAAACCTCCTACTCCAAAATCCATTGCTCCTGTCCCATAGAGCTCAGTTTTGGCAAATCTTCTGGGAAAAAGTGGGAAGTCCACAGCCAAAATGGCAATAGCAGTAAATGCACTGTTAATTACACGGAAACAAGAGATGGCTGGAACGTATTCTGATTCCAGACTGATTTTCATGAATTTTTCAAGTATTTTCTGGACAGGCATTCTGGCATAGCAAGTTCTCCTGCAGTATATTTGATAGAATAGCCCTGCCCCAAGGATAATTACAGCAAGGTGCTCAAGGAGGACAAATGAAGACAAAATGGTCAAAGTGGCCACCAGAGGAACTATCAGGAAAACAAAGTCAATGAAGAATCTAGTTTTCCAGGTATGTGAAGAACACAAGTGCTGTGAGAGAATGATCAGAAGCCCTCTGCACAGGATACAGAATGCAGGTAAGCACAGGCCCTGGGTGACTTCCAGCACACTGGTTCCATTGTGGTTACTGACAAAAGCTTCCTTCATCTGCTTTTGAGACATTTTTTCTTCTTCCTGTGATAAGAGCAAAGGGATACATTGGAAAAGCAATGTTCTTGTGGAATAGGCATATATATGACTTAATTTTACTTTTTTTTAAGATTTATTAGAGCATGTGTGCGCGGGGTGGAGCAGAGGGAGAGAGAAACTTTAGCAGACTCTTCACTGAGCTCTGAGCCTGACGTGAGGCTTGATTTCAAGACCCTGAGATCATGACCTGAGCTGAAACCAAGAGTCTAACGCTTAACCGACTACCCCACCCAGTGCCCCCGATTTTACTCATATTCCTAGATTTCAGAGCAGAACTTAAGGCCTAATGATTTCAAATCAGGGCAGAAAATAGAATTTGTGATTCCTCCCCCAAGGATTGTGGGAAGAAAGCTAACACATCAGAATAAGAATGTCAGGGCACCTGGGTAGCGCACTGGGTTAAGCATCCCACTCTTGGTTTCAGTTCAGGTCCTGATCTCAGGATCCTGAGATTGAGCGCCCCCCACCGGCTCTGCGCCCAGCACAGTGTCTGCTTGAAATTCTCTCCCTCTCCCGCTAGTGCTCTCACTCTCTCAAATCTAAAAAAAGGAGGGGCCCCTGGATGGCTCAGTCGGGTAACCATCTGCCTTTGGCTCAGGTCGTGATCCCAGTGTCCTGGGATCCAGTGCTGCCTCAGGCTCTCTGCTCGGCGGGGAGTCTGCTTCTCCCTCTCCCTCTGTGTTCTCTCGAGCTCACTCTCTCTCAGGTAAATAAAATCTTAAAAAAGGATAAGAATGTCATGCTAATAGTATGAAATCATTGGTTAAAAAGCTATTCTCTGTATAACGCAGACTCACAAAGAAAATTAATTTGGCATATAAACCCTGAAAATGGAATCACAGATAGGAATTCCTATTACAAAGCATTAGGATAGGTTATTAAAATTTTGTAATGCAAACTGAACACACTTAACTAATGACTTCAAGTCAATCAGAGAAGGATAGGGAGAAGGTATTTAAGTACACCTTGGAGTTGGAGACCTTGGTTTGTGTGAAGAGCCTCTCTGAACCCATTGCCTCCAAGACAAAATACTAGCCCTCCAGTGACATCCTAAGCCCCAGGCTGCTCCTTACCTCAGTCACAGCCCTGCTTTCAGGTTAAGTGTAGATGGGTAGAATGGATGCTAATCCTGGGGAAGGGGGCGGGGCGGGGGAGGCCTGGGCGTATGGCACACACTAGTGTTCGTGGTTTCAAAGGGATGTAAAACACCTCTCTCATATTTCAATGTCTTTAAAGTGGCACACAGAAAGAACACGTTTGTTGGCCAAACCAGAACCATGCAGAACAAATGAATGCACGCATGCCTGACGGCCTGAGCCAGCAACAATTCCTCTCGATGACAAACCAATCTGAATCGACTGGCTTTTAGAAATAAAGGAGTCCTTTTCCTGACTGACACGCGCCACGGCGGCGCCGGCCATTACACCTCACGTGCCTTCGGTGTCCCGGCGCCCCCGCAGCCGGCCGTCTACATGGTCCCTGCTGCACGACTCCCAACGCAACCGCAGAGCCATGCGTGAGCAACCCGCTTCCGCCTCCCGAGCCGCGCTTCCGGCCGACGTGGGGCGGCCTGCGCTTCCGGGCCGGCTGATTCCGCGCGCGGGCGCGCGCGCCCCGCCCAGGACCGGAGCCCGTTTCCCAGCCCCGTAGGCTCCCCGCGCTAGTTGTTGCCTTCTTGCCTAGGTCCGTCGGTGGAGGCCGGAGCAGATGCGTCACGCGCTTCACGGCCACCCCTCGAACCCCACGACGAGTCTCTCAGAGTGGTGGGGTCAGAGGGCCCGGCTCAGTGTTCGACCACGGCGTCCTCTACTGAAGGACCCCAGGCCCTGTGAGGCCCTGGAGGCCCTGCCTCCCGCGCGTCTCCTGCCGAAATACGGGAGGCCGGCGTCTCAACCCCATCTTACCCCAGGTTCTCAAATTACTTTGTCCTAGCTGGAGCCCCTAACTTCGACCCAGGCGTCCAGAGCGGGCCACGTGCGCCCCGCTCCCAGTGCGCGCCCCGCCCCGGGGGAGGAGCCGGCTGGCTCCCGGCCACTGGGCCAGAGCGGCGGGCGGCCGGTGCGCTCTGGCGGTCCTGGCTTCCTCTCCTCCCCGGCTCGCTCCCGCCCTCTCCTCTTCCCTCCCCTCCCGGGCTCTTCCCGCCGTCTCTCCCAGCCCGCCCGCCTGCCTTTCTAGTCGGGCCTGGCGGGGGCCGCGCGCTCGGCGGCTCAGGCCGTGGAACCGGTGAGTGTCACCCCCAGCCCAGGTCCGAAGCGCTTCGCGACCCCGAAAGGGCAGGGAGGCCGGTTTGCCCCTGGAGCGCAGAGGAACGGAGGGCGTCTTCCTCTCCTTTTTCCAAAGCGCCGTTTGCCTACCCTTTCCCATTTCCTTTTTGACCGTCTCGTATCTCAGCAGGGGGTAGCCCAGCTCTTGGCCCTTGCCTAGAACAAGAACCTTTCATGGTCCCCCCTCCACCTCTCCACCTTGCTGGCAGGAGGCGGCCCGGGGTTGGGGAAGGGTTTCAGCTGGGAGGCTGAGTCCCGTCTCCTGCCCTTCTTTTCGCAATCCTAGGGACCGGGGAAGGGGCAGCTGGCCCGGGTAAGCGTCAGGGCAGCCGCGCCCTTGGCTGGGGTCACATCCACCTTCCAGGGAAGGGCATACTCTCCCCGTGCCAGGTGCTTCCGGAGCGGCGTCCCAGCCCTCGTCCCTGCGGGCACTTCGTCCAGAGAGGGAGTCCTTGTTCCCGCAGGGAAGCTGGGGGCGGATCCAGCTGGGTTCCCAGGACCCTTACCCAGCTCTTCTCGCCTGCGCTCCCACTGTCCTCCAAGGGGAGGACGAACCTGAGGCTGGGGAGGAGGCGGAGGAGCTAGTGATCAGGTTGCCTCTTGCCTTGTTTTGGTGTTATATCTGTTCATTACCATCTCCCTTCTGCCCACAGTGGTCACACCCTTTCCAGAAAGTCTTGGCTGGTAACCGCGAAGCTGGGGGAGACCAAGAGCTGGGAGAACTGGAGAAAACCGCTCTAATCTGACTTGACTTTGGCTGGGAACGGACGCTGCATCATAATAACCAACATTTGCAAGGCGTTCTCTGAGGTACTAGCCCATTTGATCCTTAACTCAGTGTTTTGAGGTGTAAGTATTAGTATTCCTTTTTGCAAACGAGTAAATGGAATAAGGCTTAGAGAGCTCTTGTGATCTGCCTTGGAGGAGTTGTGGGCTTTGATTTCTAACTCCACAACCTATTATGCTCCCCTGATCCTCTCTCTTAAAATGAGCTTCCAGGTGAGGGAGCTTTGTTTTCCTTGACTCTGGGGTTGCCCTCTCCATGGCTGTCCCTTGGCAGCATATGATCAGTGTCCAAGGTGAATGTACCCAACACATTCCTGATGCTCTTCTCTGTCCTTTTTTCAGTTTGCATGAAGTCCCTATCCCTGAATTCTTTCACATGCTAGATGTATTCAGAGCCTCAAACAAGTCTCCGCCAGGGTCCATCCATTACAGACACCCCTCATCCTCATCCCTCCTTGCTAGGAAGGTGTGAGGCCTGGGATATTTTGAGTCTTAGGGTCACTTACAGTTTTTCAGAGATTGGTCTAGGTATAGCCTCACAACACTCCCCTCTCAGATTTTCCTCCTCTGAAATGCTTGCCTTTTTAAAGTTGACACTGGGCTGTTCTACCTGATTAGTGTCACCAAATGGATTATCCATCCTCGGTAGTCCTTACTATTAATAACAATATTCCCCCTATGACTGAATATTCAGATTTGTACTCCATGACATCATTGACCTTCACAACCACTCCTTGTGAGGTAGATTTTACTACCCCCATGTTAAAGATAAAGGATCAAGGTGGGCCAGGAAGGTGATACGGCTTTCCTGTGAGTGAGCTGTAATTTTGCTCCCACACAACAACTTTCCTAGAGCATCAAGAATTGACTCTAGCCTCCCTGGTCTATCAATTACTGGCTATACAAAAATAGGCTATTTCTGTCCAGTGGAGAGGGTAGGGCATGAGACTTCTCTGTCTCCCAGTGTCTCCATTCTCCACAGCACACTGACTCAGAACATATGCAGCCCCACCCCAAACCTCTGTAGTAAAACTGCCCCTGAAGAGCCCGGGGAGCCTCTGGAGGCTCTCATAAAAGTTTCCCATTTCCTAATTGGCAGGGGATAGGACAGACTTTCCCTCTCTGCCCAGGCTCGCCCTGATTCTTATTTTGATTCTTCTTGCTTGGCGGGAGGAGCTGGAGTGAGTCACCCTGAAGAAGCCCTCACCTGTGTTTGGCCCTTGTCTTCTCTGTCATGTCGTAGGCTCTGAGGTGATTCATCTCAGATTCCTCCAGAACTGAGCCTTTTACTGGACCTATGTTCCCACCTGTGCCCCCATGACCAGGTGGATAGCACTCTTTGTGCCTGTGACCCAGCACCCTGGCTGACCACACTGAAGCAAGATGCTCCATCAGGTAAAACCTCACCCTTAGGTAACCTAGGCCCTGAAGCATCTAAGGCACTTTCCCATCTGTCACTTAGTTGAATGAAGATTCCACTTACCCTGACCTGGAAGGAAGAAAGAAGAAAGACCTTTTCTCTCTTCACGTAGTCACTCCAGTGCCTTTCACCTATCATTGAGAAGCTTTTCCTGATACCTAATTTGAATCTCTCCTGTTGTGGTCTTAGCTCTTTTTCCTGGGATGAGTAAGATGGGATGGGGAGGGGAATCCTTAGGGCACTTTGGTGACTTCACAAGCCTGAACCGGTGAGGGAGTCCTGAGAGATGTCCCTGCCAGCCTGAACTGCTGAGGTACAGTGGAAGCCTGAGCCTTCCAAGAGGAGGTATTCTTTGAAGCTGAACCTTAAAGAATATGTAGGAATTAGCCAGGTGGAGAAGGGAAGTAAGCAGTCCAAGCAGAGGGGTCAGTGGGTGAAGATGCCTATGTGGAAATAAAGGAGTCTGATGAATGGATCAGGAAGCGTGTGGTGGGGGAATTGCTACTGCAGCATGAAACCTGCCCTTACTCCAGGCCTCTGCCTCTCTAAAAAGGCTACTATGGCCCCAGGCCTTCAGGATTCCAAATCACCCATCTCCTGTCCATATCATCCTTCTCGTGCAGCTCTCGGTCCAAAGGGAATGCCAGTAGGTAGATATTTGCTGAATTTTTATTTACAAAATGTGGCCAGGCACCGGGCTGTGGCAGATGTTTTAAGATGATACCTGCTCTCCAGGAGCTCACAGTCTAGTGGAGTCCTAGGCAGGTAGGTGCCTGAGAGTTATCAGGATGACCAAGAGGAAAGCCAGCCAGCCTCAAGGGAGCCCTGGTAGACACTACTGCTTGATCATCTTCCAGACTTTTGTCTTATGAAATGAGCTTGAGACTGGAGAGAAGCTGGCAGGACAATTGTCTGCTCTGGGCTTTTTTTGTTTGTTTAACTTTTTATTTACTTATTTATTTATTAATTATTTATTTTTAATTAAAAAAGCAGTAATGTTCATCATAACCATACTAGCAGCTGCTCTGTATTGAGCCCTACCTAAGTAGTAGCTACTGTTCTAAGCATTTTACATGAATAATTTTGTTTAGTCCTCAAGCAAGTTACAGTGTTGTATGTACGGTGCTCCTATATCCCCGTTTTGGAGATAAAGCTCAGAGAGGTTATGTGGCTTATTCAAGGTCACATTCACTGTAAGCAATGTGGAAAATATAAGCAAAAGGAACATTAAAATTACCCATAATTACACTAACCAGAGATAACATTTTAGAAAATATCCTTTAGTTTTCCTCTAAATATGTATTTTTAAAATATTTGAAGCTGCATAGTTTTTTGTAACCTGCTTTATTCCATTGTAAGGATATACTGTAAATTGTCCACCATTAGGACATGTGGGTTGTTTTCAACTTTTTTACGATTATAAATAGCTCAAAATATACTGAATATTCTTATGGCCTTTACATAGGATCGTTTTCTAAAAGAATTGCAGGCTAAAGAGGCATGTGTGCTTTTTAGGCCTTGATATATCACTGCATAATTAAAGAAGAGCTGTTTTTAAAAGAATAATAATAGCTAATTTGGGGTGCATATACAGGTGCCTTCTCTAAGTACTTGATGTGCTTATTAGTGTCTGACCTAGGTGCTACCAGCATTCCCATTTTATAGATAGGAAAATTGAAGCACAGAGAGATTAAGAAATTTACATAACATTGTACAACTAGTAAGTGGTAGAATCAGGATTCAAATCCAGGGAATCTAGCTTTAAGGTCTAGGCTCTTGACCATTATACTTAGCTACTTCTCTGGTTGGATCAGAGCTAATCATAAATTATGGCTCGGCTTGTGATTCCCCCCGCCCAGAGCAAAGGGATTTGCATGGATCCAGCCATGCTCTGACCTCAGCCTTTATCCTGGAGGCCAAGAGCCTGCCTTGTGGATTATGGTGGGCCCAAATTCAGAGAACAGGCAACATCTTTGGAAAGAAACTTGTTGCTGGGCCTCTCAGATGACACTTGACACCTTGGCTTGAGGGGTTTGAACTTTTAGGGTTCACTAATCTCATTGGAAGCCTACACAGTCCTATTACAGACTCCTTTCTCCAAAAGCAGATTTCAGCCAGGTACTACTTACTCTCTTCTCCTACTCCCCACCCCATCTTCCCTGTAGTCTCCAGAGAGATCAGAGGAAAAATGAGACCATGGGAGGAATTGGGAAAGAGGAAACACGTGGAAAGTGTTGGCATCAAGGATCGGCGAGGGCGAAAGAGAAACAGACTTTTCCCCTTTGTGCCTATTCTTAACCTCATCCAACTTCCAAGCCAGGCTCCCTCTCAAGTAGACCCAGAGCAGAGGAAACTAACTAAATTTAAGCCCCGAGAGCCAAGTGATGAAGGCATGGGGCTACCTCACAGCTGGTTTTTCATCACAAGCTAAATGGTCTCTTTCTCTTTCAAAAGCCCAAGCCATCGTTCTTTTTCTGGGGGGGGGGGCGGTTATGATCCCCTGTAGCAGCCCCCCACCTTGGGCCCCACCCCTAGCTGGCCAGCCTGGAAGCTGGGGCTTGTTCAGAGGAGAGGGGATAGCATTTGTTCATTTATTGAGTACACACTGTGTGCCAGGCACCAAGTGCTTTGTGTATCTCTTATTTTTCTGTCCAGTAGCCCTGCGAACTGGTTTTTTCCTTTATTTACAAATAAAGAAGCTGTGGCTCAGAGAAGTTAAGTAACTTACCCAGGTTCACAGGCTTAGTAAGTGGCAGAACTGAAGTTTGAATCCAAGCAGACTATGATACTAGAGGCCTCTTCTCCTCCTGCTACTCAGGCCCCCACCGCTACATTGCTGCCAGCTGGCCTCAGTCCCAGCTTTCATGGCCCTCTTCTCGTGCCCTCTCAGGTTCATGGCCACAGTTCAGGCTCTGGTGCCCAAGGAGGGGAATCCCTCAGAGAAGACCTGCGGGAGTTCCTGAGCGGGGAAGCCCCGCTGCACCAGCTGGATGACCTCACCAAGGTGAATCCCGTGACACCGGAGACAGGTATGGGCCTCCCTGTCCTCAAGAGGCACCCTTTGGTGCTGGCTGGCTCCGTTGGTGGAGTGTGCAACTCTTGATCTCGGGGCTGTGGGTTTGAGCCTCACGTTGGGTGTAGAGATTCCTTACAAATAAAATCTTTAAAAAAAGGGCTGTCTCCAAGAGGGTAGGGGTGTGATGTGGGTAGTTTGCACAGCTTCCCCTGGCCAGACCAAGGCAGGCAGGACTCCTGACCTCGAGCCAGTGGGCTGCTCCAGACGTCTGCCTGGCAGCTGCACCCAGGCTCCCCAGGGCAGACTTTGCTCCAGATTTGGGGCTCATCTTAATTAGATCTTGTACCTATCCATCAGGTAGCTGCTGGGATCTAAAGGCACTTGGCTAATTGCAAAGGTAACACTGTTAGGCCAGTGTTTGTCTGTGTGGGCAGTTGGGTCTGTATTTGAGCCAGAGTTTGCTAAAGGTGCCTCTGCCTCAGTCCTGAGGTGTTTGCAGGCTCGGTACGCAGCAGACACGTTCTACACCAATGCTGGCTGCACCCTGGTCGCTCTGAACCCCTTCAAGGCCGTCCCTCAGCTCTACTCACCAGCACTGATGAGAGAATACCACGCTGCGCCTCAGCCCCGGGTAAGGCTCAGCCACTTCCTGGGCCTCAGGGCTCCGCCATATCCCCCTGGGCCTCCTTGCAGCTTCCCTGTCATTATCCATCTATTCACCAGCCATGCAGTCATCCAGAATCTGCTGGTGCCACAGCCCTGCCCACCAGGCGGTCGAAGAATTTTGGACACGTGACAATAGGTGCCAAGTGAGAGAGAAATGTTTAACAGAGTTTGGAACCTAGAATAAGGACATAGCATAATGGACTTTTTTCTTGTTTGTGACTTTATTAAGAGGGAAGGATTTACAAAGGTATATTTGTGTATTTAATGAACCATTTTTTGGGGAAAGAATAAAATCATGTATAATAAGGAGTGCCCTAGAAAATTCAGCATTTCTTCCTCTCAGTGGGAGGAATGAGAGGAATAAATTCTGATGGGGTTGGAGGTGGTGCAGGCAGGGAATAGGCTAGCTGGTGTTTAAGTGCATGATGTCTTCAGAGAGAGGCAAGAGCCAACTTGCTGGCAAGAAGGGTGCTGTCAGGGGCGCCTGAGTGGCTCAGTCGTTAAGCGTCTGCCTTCGGCTCAGGTCATGATCCCAGGGTCCTGGGATCGAGCCCCGCATCAGGCTCCCTGCTCCGCGGGAAGCCTGCTTCTCCCTCTCCCACTCCCCCTGCTTGTGTTCCCTCTCTCGCTGTCTCAAATAAATAAATAAATAAAATCTTTAAAAAAAAAAAAAAGGGTGCTGTCAGGGAGAGAGACAATAGATGAGATAAGCCAGGGCTGCTGGCGAAGGGTCTGAGGCACCACAGCAGGCAGAATGTATGCACAGTGCTGCTTCCCCAGGGCTGGAGGGACTGACTGGAGCCCACCATGGGGATAATTACTCGGGAAGTTGGGGGAGTCAAGTTCAGGAAGGTGAAACAAGATACAGGGAGAACAGTTGGAGGTTTTTAACAGTTCAGGGAAGAAGGGGCTGGGGCAGAGGCAGGTGCAGAGAGGGATGGCTCTGACATTATCTACAACAGTACCTTCTCTCCAGGAAGCTGGGTAGGGGGTGATTGCTGGATGGGCAGTGCGGGCCGGCCAGGCATTGTGCAGATGACCTGGCCCTCAGAAGCTCATGCATGGTTAAGTGTCCAAGTCTTCCCTGAGAGCCCATATCTCACTGACAGCCTCTTCAAAGGCAAAAGCCATGTCATGGTTTCCTGTTTCCCCAGTGCCCAGTTTAATGCCCAGCACATTGAGGATAATTAATATTTGTGGGTAAAAAGAATAGTGGCCTAGGAATTCAAATCACATAGTTGCCTTTACTTGCTGAGTGGCCTTGGGAAGGTTATTTAACCCCTCCAAACCTCAGATTTCTCGTCCATAAAATAGGATTAGCTATCCAACTAATGAATAGATTTTTTAGGCAGTAACTTGTAGGAAAGTTCTTTGCATGCTGCAAAGTATAGTAACGTAAAATAATAAGCAGAATAAGACTATTAAGGTAAAATAAAATGGGAGGATAAAGTGTTAAGGTCATAGACTGGTCAAGGCCAGCGCTGCTTCCATACTAAAAGATGAGCGGATATAGGCACCACAGGGGTCCCGCAGTTGGGTCTAACACTGTTAAATCCAGGAGATTTTTCTAGAGGAAGCCTCCCTATCTCAGCCATCATTGGATCAACCACTCCTTGGAGACAGGCATTCCCTCATGTGACCTTTCACCCCTTGATGTTTTAGAAACTGAAGCCCCACATCTTCACTGTGGGTGAACAGACCTACAGGAATGTCAAGAGCCTGATTGAGCCCGTCAACCAGTCTATTATTGTCAGCGGAGAGAGTGGTGCTGGAAAGGTAGGAGGGCCTCTTTCGTGACTGGTAGGGTGGGCAGAGAGGGAGGAGGTCATTCCTTGTGGAGTTCTTTTGCTGCCTAATCATTCCCAGATAGGCTGGCTCAAGCAGGGAGTCAGTGTGCAGTGGTGAGCAAGCACTCGGCAAGAAGTCAAGAGATGGGGTTCTAGTCCAGGCTCTTCCATGTAACCTTGGGTGGATACTTTTTCTCTCAGCCTTCATTTTCTCCTCAAAGGTCTTAGCTCTAACACCACTGGAAACAAAAGTTAGGTATTGGGGATTCCAGAATACGGTTAAGAGCACATCGGAAAGGTATTTAGGTTCTGCAAACCTCAGTTCTTCCATTTGTAACACGACAGGGACAGGAGGACCAGCATGTAAGTCCTGAGATTCCTACGAGAGTTAAATGGACCAGTGCACATAGGCACTTGGTATGCTTGGCACATAGCAGCACTCCTAAAAGTAGCTGGGGTGACTCGTAGGAAGGGGTTACTGGAGTAGCCCACCTGTACCCTCAGGGTTGCCCATGCTGGCAACCACGGTGCACTGGGCTGGCTATGGGGAAGGACAGAAGCACTTGATGCGGTCATGTGGCCCCCTAGGTGCCAGAACCACCACAGGTGAGACAGAATGTTGCACAAGGATAGTTAAGGAGTTGCACAGCTGGTCAGAGGAGGCCACCGGGCCAGGCCTCGCCACCTTCTTGCCAAGGCTCACCCAGCCACCCCACTTTTTCCACAATGCTTGTACCTTCACAAGGGATTTTTTAGACCAGAAACTGCCTCTGCCTGTACTTACATAGGAGAGAATGGCCGAGCGCTGAGTACCTGCCAGCTTCTAGGCCGTGGGCTAGCCCCTGAAGAGTAGCAGGGGGAGGAACAGAGCTGAAAAATGCAACATATGGCTTTCAGGGGGCTCTTAGTCCACTAGGAAAGACAGCTGCAGGGATGACAGCTGGGACTTGGGTGTGGAGAGGATCTTCAAGAGCTCTTTCAAACTGGCCAGTGCAGTGGCTCATACCCAGCCCCCAGAGGAAGCCCACTGTCCTCCAGAATTGCTCTGGGGAGCTGAGGCTGGACCTGGCCTGAAACCCATGCCGCTGGAACTCAGTAACCCTTCATTGAGCAGCCGCTATGGTCTTTTGCTGGGTCTGTGTGGTTGTTTAATAAGTAGTAGCATAATTACATAGTTCAAAAATCAAGCAATACTGCAAGGCTTACAAAGAAAAACAGCAGCCGTACCCCATATCTATCAAGACTATTTCTCTCTCCAGAGGCAGCTACTTTCACATCTTCTAGCAGTTTATTTGGGTGTTTGCATTTGTATTTCTAAATAACATCATTATATTGTTACTAATTTTTCAGTTTTTTACCTAATCCGTTCATTTCTTACTCTGATAAGGATTTTAGCCCTATTTTCTCTGCCCCCAAATACATACATAATCATATCACGATTTCTAATTAATAGGCAGTATTACAGCCATGTGTATATTGTTCACAGCAAAGCAGTATAATATCCTTTCTTGTATAATTTTTACTTTCCCTCTACTTAATAATTGCCATTTTTTCATTTGTTTAGTTTCTATATACCTATTATTAAGTTATTACTAAACCTATCACCAAAGCTGGATAACACCTATCCACCAGCAAGTACATCAAGTCCTTTTTTTTTTTCTTGGTGATGTTCTTCCCAGAGCGCCCAGGTCTCTGGCCCCACCTGGACTGGTGGCTGCCAAGGGGTGTTGCCACACAGTTATTACCTGGGAGCTTCTCTGCCTCACTCTGGGGATCCCCCAAGTTGCCCTCTGTCCTATGACAACACCCCCACCCCTAACCCGTTGCTGGAGCCCATGGCTTCAACTTCTTAAGGGCCTTGTTTTTATGGAGTACATTCTTCAGTAGCTTCCTAGAAAAGTTACATGCAGGGCAGATTTTTGAGTTGTTGCACCTCGTGCTGGATTTTATAATTCCTGGTTAGAGACCATTTTTTTCCAAATTTATAAGGTTTTTTTCTTCTATATTTTTTGAGTGTTGTGATAGAGAGTCCCAGTCCGTAATGGCGATTTGTTTTTCTTTCCAGAAGCTTTTATAGTCTTCATTTTTATCTGTAGGTATTAAAACTCAAGTGCTATGTCTTGGTATGGTTGTTTTGTTTTGTTTCGTTTGCTGTGCTGGATATTTTGTGTGGGTCTTTTTATCCTGAAAACTCATGTTCTTTATTTGGGGAAATTTGTATTATAGCTAATAATTTAATAATTTCCTTCCTTCTATTCTCTCTTTTTGGAACTCCTATTAGAAGGAAGTTTGATTAATTGTCTAATATTCTTATTTTTCTCACTTATTTTTCCGTCTCTTAATATTTTGTTCTACCTTCTGGGAGATATTCTCTACCTTCCAATTTTTTGAATTTTGAATTTTTTGTTGAAAAGGTTAATTCTAAGAGTTCTCGCTTGTTCTCTGAATATTATTCCCCGCAGCCCCCACCATCCTGGTCTTATTTCATAGATTCAGTATCTTATTTTTGAGGATACTTCATGATTTTTGTCTTCTCCTTGCATTGACTCTGTTTCCTTCTGGTTCCTTTTCCTTCATTTGTTGTGATATTTGTCATTCATGTAAAAGAGGTTTATCAAATAGTTGATGATCAGTAAGTTTCTGTTCATATTTAAGAATAAGGCATTATTGGGCGCCTGGGTGGCTCAGTTGGTTAAGCGACTGCCTTCGGCTCAGGTCATGATCCTGGAGTCCCGGGATCGAGTCCCGCATCGGGCTCCCTGCTCAGCGGGGAGTCTGCTTCTCCCTCTAACCCTCCTCCCTCTCATGTACTCTCTCTCTCATTCTTGCTCTCTCAAATAAATAAAAAATCTTTAAAAAAAAAAAGAATAAGGCATTATTATTAAATGCCTCATTCAGCAACTGATTAGAATCTTTATGGATAGGATTGTCAACCAGGGAGCCTCACTATAGGTAACTTTTTAAACTTGTGGGACCCTGAATGTCCATAACTTTTCTCATGAGCTTGTCAGTGTCTCTAGAAAAGATTCCTTAGTAGAGATATGGAAACTATAAAGAGTTAAATGAAAATGATAAAAATTAAAAATATAATGAATAATTCCTTCATGCTTATCAACAGACCAGACGTGCAGATGAGTACATTAATGAATTTGACAGTAAATCAATAGAAATAATTCAAATTGAGAAACAAAGAAAGAAGCACATCTGAGAGCTATGGTACAGTATCCTGTGGTCCTACCATAGTTGTTCTTGGTGTGCCAGGAGAAAGAGAACACATGGGTCAGAGGTGATGTCTTACACAATGAACAAAAGATGGCAGGAACAGATCCAAGAAGTTCAGAAAACAATAAGCAGATGAATACAAAGAAAATATACTTCACATTATAGTCAAATTGCTGAAAACCAAACATAAGGAGAAAACTTTTATGGGAACCAGAAAAACAAATATTACAAAAAGAGGAACAAAGATAAGAGTGACAACGGGCATCTTTCAAAAACGGCAAGCCCAGGAATGCCTGGGTAGCGCAGTCAGTTGAGTGTCTGACTCTTGGTTTCAGTACAGGTAATGATGTCAGGGTCATGGGATCTAGCCCTGCATCGGGCTCTGCACTCAGCACAGATTCTGCTTCAGGTTCTCTCTCCCTCCCTCTGCCCCTCCTGCTCATGCTTGCTCTTTCTCTCTAGCTCTCTTTTGCTTGCTTGCTCTCAAAAAATAAATAAATCTTTTTTTTTTTTTTAAGATTGTATTTATTTATTTGACAGAGACACAGCGAGAGAGGGAACACAAGTAGGGGGAGTGGGAGAGGGAGAAGCAGGCTCCCCACTGAGCAGTGAACCCAATATGGGGCTCGATCCCAGGACCCTGGGATCATGACCTGAGCCAAAGGCAGACGCTTAAGGACTGAGCCACCCAGGTGCCCCAGAAAATAAATAAATCTTTAAAACAAAAACAAACACAAACAAGAACTGCAAGTCCAAAGGTAATAGCAACATCTTTAAAGAGCTGAAAGAAAAAAAGAAAAAAAAATGCTGAAAGAAAATATCTTTTGGGGCACCTGGCTGGCTCAGTTGGTAGAGCATGCAACTCTTGATCTCAGGGTTGTGAGTTTAAGCCCCACATTGGGTGTAGATATTACTTAATAAAAAGGAAAGTTGTTTTTGTTTTTTTGTTTTTTTAAGAAAAAAATATCTGCCAACCTAGAATTTTATTACCAGCAAAAATACCAAAATATCTAAAAAAATGAGAACACAGGATGCCCGGCTGGCTAGTCAGTGGAGCATACAATCTTGATCTCAGGGTTATGAGTTCAAGCCCCACTTTGGGTGTGGAGATTACTTTAAAAAAAAATTTTTTTTTTTAATTCTTTGCTTCTTTCATTTTTTTTTAATATTTTATTTATTTATTTGACAGA